TATACTTAACTTACTATATGCATCATATGCTAGGTTTAGTTATATCATGTCAAATACTTAACTTTACTATGCCATACATTTACCTTATATTCTAATAAGTTTGATGATTTCATGCCTTATGTTTCATGATGCGATTTCATGTCATATACTTAACTTACTATAACTTACTATATGCATCATATCCTAGGTTTAGTTATATTAGGTCATATTCCCTATACTATGTTTATTATATACTTTGCATAGCATATTATGTACTCCCACATCTTTACTTAGTTTATCTTATGTTTATCTTATGTTATTCTTTTTTACTTAGCTCATTTACAAGTATATCATTGGATGTAACATTCATTTATTACATTCTTATTGTTATCATAACTTATCATATTGTTTTTATGTCACGCATATGTACTTTGGATGCTAAGGAAGGCTTTGGAAGCTCATGGAGCAAGGATTCAAGCTATGAAAGCTAATGATAGCTCACAGACATTGAAAGATAACTTATCTTAGCTCAAAGCATAAAGACACTAGCTCGGGAGTAGCTGAACGAGAGTTGAAACTAGTTGGAGAATAGCTAAATGGGAGTTGAAACTAGTTGGAGAGTAGTTGAGGACCTAGTAGCTGAGCTGAGGAGTAAGGATAACCGGAGGTAACTGAGGTGGTAGTTGAGTAGATAGAGTGGTACTAACTAGCTAGATTGAGTCTACCTAACTAATACTCACCTGGCTAGCTACCTAAGCACTCACCTTGGTGATAATCACCTACCATGCGCTCATCATGCATCTTATGGACAAATCATTCTTACTCTTAGTGTGGAAAGATATCTACATTCAAAGGAGGTCATGAGCAAGCAAGAAGGTTGCCATGTGCATCATTCAAGAATGTGCACATCATGTGATCTCAAGTTAGGAGCTAAACACCAAAGGACCTCACTATTTGGCCTAAGCATTAAAACCATCCCCTTTGCCACCAAGATGAACCAATGCATCACTATTTGGCTAAGCACTATGTCTCCTCATTCAAAGCGAAACATCCTTCATCTTTTAAAGAGTTAGTCAAACCAACACATAGGAAAAAAGGGCATACATATTCATATGAAAAAAGGCATATGTATTCATTAAATGGTTATGTATCTTCATAAAGAAAAATGTATGGTTGAACCAACACCTATCCATTCAATCATGTCTCTTCTTTTGTTATAAATAGCCAATGCCTGAGCTCTTGTAAAGCATTCCACTTTACATTAATCAAATTGTGAGGTTTTCCTCTTTTTCAAGTTCTTTGTGAACTACATCGACTTATTAAGTCTTTGTGCTTGTGGCATCCATTCCTTTTCCATTGATACTTGTGTTTCCTAGTTCTTTATAACTAGAAGGGCCAAGTCCTTGTTTACCACCCCTTAAACAAACTATAAGGATTGGTGTGAGGCTATTTTATAGCCTAGTTTCTTCCTTGTTGTTTAAGATACTACCAACCTTTTCTATTTGTTTCATAAGCCACCACTACGACTATATCATCAAAAGCCAACCCACTTCTGCATCATATATACTTAATACAAACCTAATTTTTTTCTATTTGTTAAATACTTTAAATCAAACCTATGAGCTATTGTATAAGAAAACAAAGCATCGTTAACTGTTTGTGATTTTAAAAAATCATGCCTAATTCAAATATAGGTTCAACATTTGAATAATCAAATAACAACTTGCCAGTCTTCTTAAATACAAAATCCCCATCTGAATCAGTCTCATAACTTCCAACATTTAAAGAATGCAGGTAAGCAATATTCTCCCCACTGTTTTCACCTCCTAAATCTGTTGAACAATTACTCCCTAAAGATGCCTCATTTCATTCTGTTGAGACTAAACCACTTTTTCTATTTTGATTTGCTAAATCTTCCTCATTTACTTCTATTGAGCCCAAACAAGTACCTTCTTCTTTATGATCTATTGCACCCAGATCTGCATTTCTAGAATCTTCATACCCTCCCCAACACCATGCTTTTAAGTCTGATGCAGTGACAATGTTGTTTTTTTATCTTCCTTTTCACTAACTTGAAGTTCTTTTTGATGGAAGTTATCTCATCATCATCATCATCAGATAAGGGACAATATCCACCTACCTCTCCACTCTCCTTTTGGGTATTATAACTCCCCTAATTACTTTCTTCATCTCGCAGCCCATCAATGCCAGTAGGCCCAATAGGCTCACTGCCAGCATTTTCACTACCCTCGGAAGTCATCTTCTTAATTTGGATAACCTAAAAATATCAATACAATTAATAGTTAATACAAAAAAATAATTTAACTTAACAAAATTCTAACATATTATGGTCAAACTAATATTTAACAAACAAAATCAAATAACCACAAGTCAAATAACCAATATTCATTATATTTGTCACAAACCAAATAACCAACATGCATTATATCCGCCATTAACAAACCAAACTACAACATTTTAATAGTTAATAAACATGTTATGGTCAAACTTAAATTCATTAATATTCTTTAACACAAAGCACAAGACCTGCTACTTATTTAAATATTATTTATATATACTTTAATCAAATATTTTACTATTTTTTTAAAAAAAGAATCTTTAGAAGGAGACAAAAAAGTTACCTTTGTTGATCAAATTCATAATTAATAACACCAAAATCACCAAAAGTGCTTCAACTTTATGCACCTTCAAAAGTCTCATTGTCAAAATCAAAATATTTTACTTAGTATTAAACTTCAAGGAACCAACATCATTTGCTTACCATTAAAAATCAAATAACATTTACTTACCATTAAAATCAAACCTTTTTTGATCAAAGGGAACATAATAAACAACAACCGACTTTACGTATCCTTCAAAAGTCACACCGCCAATAGGTTTTATAGAAAACCAAAAAGGATTCGAATAGGGTTGTAACATCATTTCCTTAACATTAAATCAAAATCAGACATACACTTCATTTTTAGACATACCTTCAAACTTTACCTTCACAAACTCTTTCACTTCTTCGACGGTTCTTTTTCCTTCAATATGAGCCAATGGATTTGATATAAAACCAAAAAGGAATCGATTAGGGTATTAACAAATTTTGCATCCCTTAATTATAATGATAAATGAGAATTAGGGTTACTTCAAAAATTTTAGAGGGAAGAAAGTGACGGGGAAGAGAGGGAAAATTAATTAGGGTTAAAGGTATGGAGACTTAAAACTAGGGTAGTCGAGTAGTGTGGGTCACATCATTAGGGTGTATCATCTTTGTCTTCTTTTAATGCCTTTGTAGTAATTTCCATGACTTCTACTTTTTATACGTTTCTGTTATTGGTATTTATGAAGGCTTAGAACTGGGCTTGTTATCGTTGGCTTCTGTGTATCATTCTCTTCATGTTTCCTCTTTTAAATTTAGCCGGGTCTAACGTTACTGTCTATATGCAGAGATTTTTTCGCTGGGTTTTATTTGCAGGGATTACTTCCCATTAAAGACGCGCATAGGATATTAATGACTACATATGAATACTGTTCAACTATGTATTTATGTATTTATTTATACATGCATTGCATTTTTATCTATATTTTTTATTTTCTGACTGCCGGAGGTCTTCTACGGAAGCTACTCTCAACCTGGCGTTGGGGGCAGCCTACTACCCTACCTCCCCTTACCCCATTGCATATGGGAATTGTGTTTTGTTGTTGTTGTTGTTGTTGTTAAAGGTAAAAAAGGTTTTTATCTTTTTAATTTTTTAATTTTTCAATTTCAATTAATTAATTAGTTATTATTTTAATTAGAAAACTCATTTTTTAATATTATACCTATGTCAGGTGGTATTTAACGGCCAAAATTAATTGTCCTTCACTATCTAACCCTAATTGAGTTATAGAATAAAACGTTAGACATCAAACTGAAAAAACGGGCATTCGTTGAGCACATTTTTTACCTTTAAGCCTATTAAAAAATCATAAAATCTAAACAAAAAAAAGTAACATGAATATGGAAGTTAAAAAAGCATTAAAAAAAATCTGAGAGGATTATAATTATAAGGTGAATACATGAAAAAAAAAGTATGGGTAAAAATAATGCATACGTAGACTTACATCAAAAGGAAAAATTACTAAAATTTGAAGTTAATTATTTTAGAAGCATCGATATTTTAATATAGATTTGGATAATAATAAAATAAAACATTATAATTTTTAATACCAATATTTCCACGAGGAAAAAAATCAAGATAAAGAACAAAATTATGTGTACTAGATATACGTATAGTTAATATTGATGGTCAAATTAAAAAAAAGTAAAGAAATATAAACGCTGATTGTTAAATTTAAAGTAAATTAAATATTAATCATCTAACTATTTTTATAATTTATTTTAATCACTTACATAATTTTTTAAAATTATATTTAATCTTATGTTTTTATCACCGCCCTTTAAAAATCCACAAAGTCACCTAAGTGCATATTTTATATAGATTAAGAAAATATCCAAAATTGGCATTATAATACACACATGATTCATCTTATAAAACATTTTGGGTAAATTAGGGTCATAGTCCTCAGATTAATATATGCGCACGAAAGAGATTCTAAATTTTACTTACACTCCAAATTAAAAAAAATTATATTTCTTGCATTTTAATCCTTAATCAATAGATATCAAAATTAAAATCTATTCATTCAAAATTGTTTTGAATTTAATTAATAATTCAAAAACATGGTTCGAATACCAAAAAGTAAATAATAATCATCAGAAATTAAAAAAATTATCAGACTAATTTTAAGGGTGTTACAACTCTTCTCTAAAGAAAGGTTTCATAGGCTCGTATTCCTCTTCGGTTACACGAAGAAACTGGGGAAATCGATGGAAAATGTGATAAGCAGCTCCACACAAGATCTAAAATCATTTATTTATTTATTGAATTAAATTGGAAGAATGGAAAATGTAAAAAATAAATAAAGCGAAGGGGAGGGAAAGAGCGATAGGTGTGAGACTGACAGAAGCACCTCCACACCCCTCCCTTTTCTTGTATATTTAATCCCTTCTCTCCCCTCCCTTTTCCTCAGCTTGATTTTCGCTTCTTCAAGAGAACACCAAGCTTCTAACTACATCAAATAATTGTCCCCCTGTTTGGTTCCAAGGGAAACGCCTTTCTTTTTCTCTTTTCTTTTGATTAGAAACTAGAAACAATATGCAGGCGGTTTCTCCTTCGCATAATCTTAATTCTTCTTCTATCATTCGACCTTCCAAGCCTCGGAAGCTCAACCGCTTGAATCGATTCGCCGTCCGTTGCGTCCACCGCTATGACTCGGTTCAATTCCCTAATGGAGTCGGTTCAAGCCGTGCCGATTGGCAGAGTTCCTGTGCTATTCTTTCCAGCAAAGTCTTCTCTCAAGATCAAGGCTCCGGCGAGAAGTCCACTCCTCATTCCAACTCCGACCACCTAGCTGCTGCCGTCAACGGTCATCAGACTTCCTTAGATCTTAACCTTGTCCCTATTGACAAAAACAACAAGCCTCAGCCGCCTGCGCAGAAACCGTTATCCATGACCGATCTCTCTCCTGCTCCGATGCACGGCTCTCAGCTGCGTGTGGCTTACCAGGGAGTCCCCGGGGCGTACTCCGAAGCTGCGGCGGGTAAAGCTTATCCTAATTGTGAAGCTATCCCTTGTGACCAGTTCGAAGCCGCATTCCAAGCGGTTGAGCTTTGGATCGCCGATCGAGCTGTCTTACCGGTGGAAAACTCGCTAGGCGGTTCCATTCATCGGAACTACGATCTCCTCCTCCGGCACCGTCTCCATATCGTCGGCGAAGTCCAACTCCCAGTCCACCACTGTCTATTAGCTCTACCAGGTGTAAGGAAAGAGTACCTTACACGCGTCATATCTCATCCACAAGCTCTCTCCCAGTGCGAACACAAGCTAACAAAGCTCGGACTCAACGTCACGCGCGAAGCTGTCGATGACACTGCCGGAGCCGCGGAGTACATAGCAAACAACAACCTCCGTGACACCGCTGCCATAGCAAGCGCACGTGCCGCCGAACTCTACGGACTCCAAATCCTAGCCGACGGTATCCAAGACGATTCAGGTAACGTGACGCGCTTCGTTATGTTAGCTCGGGATCCAATTATCCCGCGCACAGACCGGCCCTTCAAAACGAGCATCGTTTTCGCGCACGACAAAGGTACGAGCGTGCTGTTCAAAGTGCTATCGGCGTTTGCGTTTAGGGACATCAGTTTGAGAAAAATCGAGTCTCGGCCGCACCGCAATAGACCGATCCGGTTGGTGGACGACGCCAATGTTGGAACCGCCAAGCATTTCGAGTACTTGTTTTACGTGGATTTCGAAGCTTCGATGGCAGAGGTCAGAGCTCAAAACGCGTTGGCTGAGGTTCAGGAATTCACTTCATTCTTGAGGGTATTGGGCAGCTACCCAATGGATATGACACCTTGGTGCCCTTCCAGGGGAGATGAACCAAGCTTATGAAAATGAATAATTAAATAAACAATAAAAAAGCGAATTGTGAAAATCAATTTTAATTTTCTTTTTGGTTATTATGAGAAATTTTAATTCATCGATGGATTTAACAACAAACCAAAAGATTTTAGCACCAACCATAAAATAAAAAATATCAGTGATAATGATTCTCCTTTTGACATTAGGACTAAATCCGCATTGTTGTACAAGTTAGTGTTAGAAACTTCGATTTTTGAATTAGATTTTGATTTTCAAAATAATCTTTATTTGTTTATTTTTAAAATTTCCATGTAATTGAAATATAACTTTAAAATCTTCAATTTTATCCGAGAAAAATGTCATGATTCAGTTCAAATATTATATTTTTCTCATGAAACATAAGAAAATAAGTAATTGAAATATAACATATTTTTGTTTTTTTAAAAAAAAAAGAGGATTTGGTGAGGAATGAGGGAAAAAAGGGTAAAGAGTATGAACATGAACATGATGATGAAGAAGATGATGATGGGAACATGGGGTGTGGTAGGTGGGAGATGCTTTGTAGTTGAAGTTCAAATCTACCTACTCTTTTCTCATTTGTGTGCATCCCATCATAATTATATAATTGGAATTTAGAGCATAACATATTGTAAATAGAAGATGAACATAAATAATTTAATCAATTGAGTGTTTATCTTATTAATTTAATTATTATTTTAATATTTAAGAGTAATAGAGTTTTATTATATTTAAATATATATTAGTTTTTTTATTTATGAGTATGTTTAAATATATATAAATTCATAAAAAAAATTACACACCTTACTCTAAGAACGTGTCACTTAAAATGTCACATGAAATATAATACACACTAAATTTGAATTTTTCAAAAACTCGTAAAAGTGTCTTTTAAAATCCAGAAAATGAAGAAAAAACTAATTTAATTTTAATTATATTTTATGTTTTAAAAAATTTTGAGTTTATGTTTTATATGTCGTGCGGCACTTTAGGAGCCTAGAACAGTTTGTGAGCAGTTCATGATTTTAACAGGTTAACTTGAGTAAAATTCAATTAGATTTTATAAGTTTGCGAGTAACTTATTAATTATTTTTATATAATCTTTTAGTAGTTAAAATTTATTTCATTAAAGAATATTACTAATTTATTAATAGAAAATAAAAAATGATATATTGCTAATCTATTAGTATTTTCATAAACAAAAAATCTTAATTAATATTTAATACCCAAAAATCAAACTTTATTTATTATTTTAATGTATTTATGGATTATTACTTTGAAGTTTAGATTTTGAAATTGCTTGATACAATCTTTTGATATTTTTTTGGGGCTACATTTGTTAATTTACGTTTATATTCAGCTCTATATAGTATTATTAGATTTTACATATAGTGAATAAAATAAGATAAAAAATTTGGTGAGATTAATGTGGAACGAGTAGAGCAACGAGAAATGAGTCGAGTAATAAGTTCTTTTAACGAGCGCGAGTCGAGCAAAAATTTAATTAGTTTAACGATCAACGAGTTGAATCGAACAACAAATTTTTGAAGGAGCACAATTCGAGCAATGCGCAACTCGCGATTGACTCACTCGATATCCACCCCTATCCCTGAATTGCAAATAATTTTTTTCTTAACGGAAGAATAGAATATGAATGATAATCTGATTTATGAAAGAAACAATAAGAAGCTAAAATTAAATCAGAAATTTTAAGTGATCTTAGTGTTTAAACCAAATATTTTTTTTTCTTGAAGCCTTGAGTTCGAGTAGTTGTGTCTGTAGGATGTGTGTGCATTGTCAATAGTTAAACTTTTTTTGAACAAATATTACTACCTTATAATAACTTCATACTATTAAAAAAATTAAAAATTTCAAATACTTAAAATAATAATAAGATATTCTATCAAAAAAATAATAATAAGACATAATTTTAGAATCAAAATAATATTAATTTTAAATTAAATACATGTGTATATATCTTATAATGAAATTAAACAAATTTCCCTTTCCTTCCTAAGTATTTAATATGAGAAAATGAAATAGCTACTGACATAAAAAGAAATGTGATTTAAATAAATGAAAGGCAAGAGAGGCAGGGGTATAAATGAAAAGGGACCAAAAGAATGAGCTTGGGAGTTGGGACCAATTGATTTAACCAACAAATAAGGACAAAAATAAACACAAAATTTCATCACATGCCCTTTGAATTTTTCAATTTTTTCTTTTTGGATATATCAACAGATAGCAGCTAAGGTGTAAACGTGGGCGGCTTATGATTCCATTTCATCTACTTGGCTGATTATGCCAATAGCTCTACTTTCTACTAACATGGATTTATCCTTCGAATAGGCCTCGCCAAGTAGGGATGTTCATTGTGGAGCTTTAACCAAAATAAACGACTGAATTAAAATTTAATTTAATTAATCAATCAATCAGTCAATTAAAAGATAGATAGTTAATGCTTAATTAAACAAATTAATCAATATTTTTAAATATATTAATTAAATATATAAATTAGCTGACCCTTATTCCTATATGTAATGGGGTAAGGGGGAGGTAGGATAGTAGGCTGCCCCCAACGCTAGGTTGAGAGCAGCTTCCGTGGGAGACCTCTGAATTATGAAATGCCCTCCGTAAGACTCGATCCCACGACCTCAAGGTTATGAATCTTGCATTCTACCAACTGAGCTGGATGATCATTTCATATTAATTAAATATATAATATATTTAAATATTATATATACATATATATTAATCTAAAAATTAAAATCAACTATTTTTAAATCACACTAGACCCATTAAACTTTTAAGACCCAATCAAATTAAATATATTAATTTTTAAATACATATATTAAACTTAAATTAGGATAACTATTTTAAAAGTAATTAATTAATTTGATCACCGACTAAATTAACAAAACTTTATTCGTTTTAGTTAATAAATTTTCAAAAAATAAATAGGTTCGATTAATATTTAAAAATTCAATTAATTTGATTTAGACTAATTCAATTTGATCAATAGTTGAATTAACCATTTAAACACTCCTAACGCAAAAGTTTTCACAATTGGATCAATGATTAGATCAATTCAATCCATCTTATCATTTTATTCTGTAACAAAAAATATGAAAAATAAATAAAAATTATAAACACATGTAAACAATAATAATATCTTAAGCACATTTAAATAATTTTACTTCATTTTCGTTATACCTTCGGATGTCCTCTGTAAAACTAACTCTAACTACAGTTGTCAATTCTCCATGAGCGAAAATCTGAACATAAATTTTTCTACCCATAAGAATTTCCTATTCACCTACATCCTCTGAATATAGGCTACAATGCATAGACGAAACCTCTGAAAAATTCACTGATACGTTAGAATGAAACCCAAAATCTATCTGACGAATTCACCTAGCATGTTAGTCTACGAAGAATCATAATGACCCTATGGACACACACATAAGATCACTATAAATAACTCCAACTAAGAATAAAAAAAGGCTGAAAAAACCTTCACAACCCATATATATTCTTCTTCATCCTTCATGAATAACTCTTTTCTTGATAGAAGATGGCAGTGAAGTGATGAATGTTGCTCGCTGTTGAATAATCAAACCTAGAAAGCTCTAGACTTAATCAAAGAATGACATTGAAAAAGAAAAGGGTTTTGTCACAAGCAAAGGTTTTGAATGAAGAAAAAGGTTGATGGAAATCAAACAAAAAGATGATGATTAAAAATTTAATGGATAATTTATAATGGATATGTAAAAGAATTATAAAAAGATAATATATATTGGAAAATATATAATATGTATAAGCTTTGGCGATAAGATGGATGTAGTGATATAATTGTCGTGGGATAATGATAATGATGATAAAGATGAAGGATAAATATTCTACGAACCCTCATAGTCGTAATTAACTAGGCAAACTTAATAATATACTCTAACCAGCCCTCCTAATTGCAATGAGAAGGCAAATCGAAGTGTGAATATCTCCCTCACGAAGAACATGAAGAACTTAATGATGACAAATGCTTTGAAGGCACAAGGCAATTAACACTTGCAAAAATGAGCTATCTTATTATTAATCGAAGAAATATGTTGTTACAAAGTTGAATGAAACCTCCTTTATATGGAAGAGGAGTTATAAAAGTCCTAAATAACTAATGAACAAAATAATAATAAACTAAACATGTTTTAATTCTAATTCCTAATAATAATAAACTAATAATAATGTTTTAACTCGATCTTAATTTATAATAAAATAATAAATATAATCCTAAAAGATAAAGTCTAATCCTATATTAAATTATATTATAAATAATCAATAAAATTATTGGAAATTTGTAATATTTAAAAAAATTTGTGTTAATCTCGTACAAGAATTTTTGCATACGTTGTCTTCAGTAAAATGGACGTATCTTGAGTTCCTGATATCGGATCGATTCGATTCAACTGCCGTTGAAAATATAAGAGACAATTGATTGTACCTCCAGAAGACATGTTGACCAAATAAGGTTAGGATCCCATTAAAAAAGTCGTTGTAAGTATGTTGCTATTTTGGTCTTATTTTTCAAGGCTTGGACATGTGGGTTAATTGGAAGAGTTAATCTATCTTTCTTTGATGTGAGCCTTGTGACGCATGTATCATCCTCATTCTCTTCAAAAAGATTCAACCTCGAATCTAAAACATTGAAGGGAGCAACATTAGAACATTTTAATGATTCACTCACATTATACTTACCGAATAGATATGCTTGGAATCTTCGAGACTTTATTCTTCTACTAGGTTCGAGTAGAAACATTAGTCTAAAGAAGAATTCACTCTTATTATCATAGATTCTAGAGCATGCATCATTACTCTCTCCTAAAAAATATTCCTCCACGAATATGAAAAATCTAAAAGAAAGAGAATAAGATGTGTTAGAATGAATTCTTGTGAAACACTTACCCGGATCAATGTGATGTATATTTTTACGCTTTAGTTGAGGTTTCTTCCTTTTTGGAGTTGTTTTATACTTTTCTTGAAATGCT